AAACCCTCGAAATATAAGCTCCTTCCAGAGATTTTTGCATTTGTGAACAAACTTATTGCTTCTGCAACGTCGCATCTGTGGTAGTAACCTCGTAGATGCACAAACCACTGCAAAACCCGACTCATTGCTTTTGTGGAGCCGCTGGTGTGATAATGTGCATCTATGCTAGTGCTTCTGCACTGACAACTTTGCATCTGCGGACTCCCATGCTCAAGCCCAAGTCCGCTTCTAATCTCCTTCCCGCTTTTGCGACCTCGCACCTGCAACTAAAGTTCTGTAGGTGCAACACTCCAAAACTAGTTTTACCAACAAGCAACAAAATGATCCGAAATCAATCTGAAATAGACCCGAGCCCCCCAGGATCTCGTCCAACCATACCAAAAAGTACATATACCTAATCTAAACTTATCGAAGGGCTTGAAACACCACTAATAACATCAAAACCAAGGATCGACGATCAAAATCTTTATCTTAAGTTCGAGAACTGCCAACTTCCAACAAAGCGTCCTAATCAATCCGGATTCTAACCAAACTTTGCACACAAGTTCCAAACCACTATATGAACCTATTACTAGTCCCGAAGAAACAATCTAAGTATGATGTCATCAAAGTCAACTCCAGGTCAAACCTATGAACTTTCCGAACATTCAAATTGCCAATTTTTGAAAAATAGAGCCAAAACATCCAAGGAACCTCCAAATCCAAATCCGAACATACGGCTAAGTCCAAAAACCACCATAAAAATCAATTGGAACCATCAAACGACAAATCTGGTGAAATTTATATAGAAGTAAAACCTTGGTCAACTCTTACAACTTAAGCTTCTTTCAAAAGAACTAAGTGTTCTAATTCATTCCAAAACCTCCTCGGAATCAAACCAACCATCCCTGCAAGTCCCAAAAAAATGAGCAAGAATACGAAAAATATCAAATAGGGAAAATGGGCTCAAATACACAAAAATGAACGGTCAGGTCATTGCAGGTGTTCAAAACTCCAAAACCTCCTTGGAATCAAACCAACCATCCCTGCAAGTCCCAAAAAAATGAGCAAGAATACTAGAAATACCAAATACCCTATATGAAATTTTCCAAAGGCTCAAAATACCCAAGTGAACATCATAGCAAATAAACAAGTCTCAAAATGGAATAGAATTTCTCTTAGGTTCTTCAATCTTCATTCTCTTAAAAGAGTGTCTGAGTCACAGTTAGACACTTCAGATTACTTCCAAACTTTGCACACAAGTTAAATTTAACTATATAGACCCATTCAAAGTCTCAAAGTACCAATCAAAGTCCAATAACATCAAAGTAAAATCTTGATCAAACTTATAAACTCTTAAGTTCTTCAAATTGCCAACTTTCAACAAGTGGTGTTGAATTCTTCTTGGAACCCCCAAAATCAAATTCGAACATACAAGTCTAAAATCATCATACGAACTTATTGGTACTATAAAAACCCAGTCCATTTACCTAAAAATAAATCTTGGCCAACTATTACAACATAAAGCTTCTATTTTGGTGCTAAGTATTCCAAATCACTCCAAACCTCTTAGGACCAAAATCACTCATACCCGTAAGTCATAAAACAACAAATGGACCTATGGGAAATCTCAAATCATGGAACAAGATGCTAGAACTCAAAATGGTCGATCGAGTTATTATATCATCATACAGTGCATCTCCAGCCCATGGCCCTATCAGTGCACCCCCAATACAGAGCTTCTATATTTGTCATTCAGGTCGTCAGGGACAACTTCAAGTTTAGCCACTATGTAGCAGAGGGGTTACTATAAGTGTGGGTATTTGAGGCATGTCATGAGGCATTGTCCTAGGTTGCATAGTGGTATGCCACCGCAGGGTACTTGTGATATTATTTTGACACCAATTTCTACATCACCCGTCCATCCAGTGATGGATGAGGGTCAGCCAAATAGAGGTGGAGATTATCTAGGTAGAGGTCATCCTAGAGGAGGAGGACAGGCTGGTGGGGCTCAGCCCTATTGTTATACATTTCCATGTAGGCCTGAGGGAGAGTCGTCCGATGCAGTTATCACAAGTATAATCTTAGTTTCTCATAGGGATGCTTTAGTGTTGTTTGATCCAGGATCTACTAATTCATATATGTATTCATATTTACATTGCACTTGAGTATGCCTCGTGATTATCTTAAAATTCCTATTTTTATTTTTACACCGGTTGGAGATTCTATAGTAGTGTATTAGGTGTAGCAATATTATGTTGTTATTATAAATGGTTTTGACACCATGGTTAATCTCTTGTTATTGTATATTGTGTATTTTGAGGTTATTCTTGGCATGGATTAGTTGTTTCTGTATCATGCTATCTTGGATTGTCATGCCAAGATTATAACTTTAGATATGCCATATTTACCTATACTAGAGAGCAGGATCCTTTTCCATTCTACAATAAGAGTGATTTCAATTTTGAAGGCTCGATGTATAGTTGAGAAGGGGTGTTTAGAGTATTATGATTACATTCGAGATTCTAGTGCGGAGTTCTTTCTATGGACTCGGTACCAGTGTGGGAGAGTTTCTAGAGGTGTTTTAGGTGGATTTACCGGGGATGCCACCTGATAGGGATATTAATTTATTCATTGACTTGGTCCCGAACACTCATCCAATTTCTATTCCTTCATATAGTATGGCTCCAACTGATTTGAAAACGTTGAAGGAGCAGTTGCAGGATTTGTTTGATAAGAGATTTATAAGATGGAATATTTTCCTTTGAGGTGCGACAGTGTTATTTTTGAAGAATAATGATGGTTATATGAGGATATGCATGGATTAATGAGAGTTGAACAAGGTTACTATATATGACAAGTATCCATTGCCTCGTATTGATGATTTGTTTGATCGGCTTCATGGCGCCAAGGTTTTTTCCAAGATTGATTTGATATCTGCATATCATTAGGTGAAGATTAGGACTTTTGATGTCCTTAAAACAATTTTAGGACTCGTTATGGTCCTTATGAGTTCTTGGTAATATCATTTGGGTTGACTAATGCCCCATCAACTTTCATAGATTTGATAAACTGGGTGTTCAAGCCTTATTTGAATTCATTCATGATTATGTTCATTGATGACATCTTGGTTTACACTCATAGTAGGGACGAGCATAACAACACTTGAGAGTAGTACTTCAGACTTTGAATGATCGTCAAATTTATGCCAAGTTTTTAAAGTGCGAGTTCTGGTAAGATTCAATCGCATTTTTGGGTCATATTGTGTCTAGGGGTGGTACCAAAGTTGCTCCTAAGAATATTGAGGCAGCTCAGAATTGGCCTAGACCTACTTCAGCTATGAATATTTGGAGTTGGGTTTGGCAGGCTACTATCATCGCTTTGTTGAGGGATTTTCATATATTACAACTCAATTGACCAAGTTGACTCAGAAAGGTATTCCTTTTAGATGGGTTGATGAATGTGAGGGAAGCTATCGAAAGCTCAAGGTTGCCTTGACTATGGCTCTAGTGTTGGTTTTTCCCATAAGTTCATAGTCCTACACCATTTATTATGATGTTTCACACATTGTCCTAGGTACGGTGTTGATGCAGGATGGCATGGTGATTGCTTATGCATCTTGGAACTTAAAGACTCATGAGAAGAATTTTCATGTTTGTGATTTGGAGTTGGCAGCTATTGTGCATGCACTCAAGATTTGGAGGCATTACTTGTATGGTGTGTCATAAGAGGTCTATACTGATCACCACAACCTTCAACACTTGTTTAAGCAAAAAGATTTGAATTTAAGGTAGCGGAGGTGGTTGGAGTTATCCAAAGATAATGATATCTCTATCTTGTATCATTTGAGTAAGGCAAACACGATAGCTAATACCTTGAGTAGAAAGGTGGAGAGTATTGGTAGTTTAGCATTTATTCCAGCTGAGGAGTGGCTATTGGCTATGGATGTTCAGGCCTTGGCCAACCGATTTATGAGATTGGATATTTCTGAGCCTAATAGGGTTCTTGTTTGTGTTGTTGCGCTGACGTCCTTGTTGGAGGGTATCAAGGCTCATCATTTAATGATCCTCATCTGTTGTTTATGGAGGACATGCTGCAGCGAGGCGGTGCAAAGAAGGTTGTGATTGTAAATAGTGGTGTTACATGACTACAAGGTCAGATATGTGTTCCTAATATTGATGTGTTGAGGGAGTTGATTCTTGAGTAGGCTCACAGTTCAAAGTATTCTATATATCCAGGTGTCAAGAAGATGTATTGTGACTTGAAGCAGCATTACTGGTGGTGGAAAATGAAAAAGGTCATTGTTGGGCATGTTTCACGGTGTTTGAATTGCCATCAAGTTAAGTATGAACGTCAGAATCCAGGTGGTTTGACCCAGAGATTGGTTATACAGGAGTGGAATTGGGAGCGAATTACTATGGACTTTGTGATAGGACTACCACAGACTTTAAAGAGGTTTGATGCTATTTTGGGTCATTGTAGATACGTTGGCCATGTCCGTGCATTTTATTCCGATGATGACTTCTTTTATTTCAGAGAAGTTGGCCCAGATCTATTTGAGAGATTATTTGTTTGCACGGTGTGCCTATTACTATCATTTTGGACCGTGGTACTCAGTTCACATTGCACTTTTAGAAAGTTGTACAACGAGAGTTGGGCATACAGGTAGAGCTTAGCACTGCATTTACCCACAGACAAATGGCCAGTACGAGTAGACTATTCAAATCCTTGAGGATATGTTGAGAGCCTGTGTTATTGATTTTGGAGGCCATAAGGATCAGTTTCTACCATTGATGGAGTTTTCTTACAGCAACAGCTATCACTCCGACATTCAGATAGCGTTGTATGAGGTTTATATGGTTGGCGGTGACATTCTCCTATTGGTTAGTTTGAGTCCGGTGAGGCTAGGATGTTGGTAAATGATTTGGTTCGTGATGCCCTATATAAGGTGAAGTTGATTCAGGACCTTATTTGGACAACGCAAATAAGGCAGAAGAGGTATGCGAACAAGAAGGTTCATGATGTGGCTTTATGGAGGGCGAGACGATACTTTTGAAAGTTTTTTCTATGAAGGGCGTGATGAGAATTGGGAAGAAATTCAAGTTGGGTCGAGGTTCATTGGCCCATTTGAGGTGTTGGAGAGAGTCAAAGAGGTTGCTTATAAGTTTGCTTTGACTCCTAGTCTGTTTGGAGTTCATCCGGTATTTCATGTTTCTATGCTCCGGAAGTATAATGAAGATAAATCGAATGTAGTGGACTTCAACACAATGCAGATTAATGAGAATTTGACTTATATAGAAGAGGTGATAGCTATTATAGATCGGCAGGTTAGAATGTTGAGATCTATGAAAGTTTCTTCCGTGAAAGTGCTTTGGAAAGGGCAACCATCTAAGGAGGCTATTTAGGAGTCCTAGCCCGATATAAGGAGTAGATATACGTATTTTTTGCCAGTTTAGGTACGTTTCAATGTCCGTTCGAGGACAAACGTTTCTTTTAGAGGGGGATAGTTTAATGACCCAATAAGTCGTTTTGAGTTCTAGCTTTCCATTTCGTGATTTGAGACCTTGAATAACTTCATTTCATGATTTATAACTTTTGTTTTTGGTAACCATGTAAACATTACCATTAACAAAACAAATCCTTACACTTAAAGAGCACCTGATCTCGCAAACATACAAAGATCAAGCCTCCAACATACAAAAACAAAGAGAACTAATTACATTTGCAACTGCTGTACTAAGTTCCTACATCTATGAGCTTTCTTAAATGAACTAAGTATGTCTACTCTAGACAAAATCTCTCTTTTTATCTGTATAACCGTTTCTGCCGCCTGTACATGTGTGCCTTTGAACAACATCCAGTTCCTAGCCTTCCAAGTATGATAAACCATTGCCCCCCAAGTTGCTGCAACCAACTATCTATGGAATTGCTTCCATTTCTTCTTTTTATGCGCATCAGAACTGTCTTCAGATCTCCTAATTGCAGACACTAAATAAATGGTTAGCTGTCTCAATAACTTGAAAGTCACATAAACAGCAGGTCACCTCCTCCACTGGTATATTTAGATTCCCTAATCTTTCTTTAGTGAGCAGTCTATTATGAACAACTAGCCACATAATAAATCTATGCTTAGTTTGTGACACAGAAATCGAGATTAACTCAACATTGGCCAACTTAGTGTGAGCACTTCTTAGTTCCATGTAACTCCTAGTAATAGAGTAATCTCCCCTTGAGGTGAGTCTGTATCTGCCATATATGTACCAATTCTGTATTTTGACAGTTAAAGCCTTTATCTTCCTCCAGTACCAGCTACTATCTGCATGTGCTTTGTGACTCCAGATGTCCTCACCAATCTTTAAGCATATTTCATGCACCCACTTTACCCACAATGAGTCTTTATTGACTAGAAGTTGCCACACCAGTTTACCTAATGCAACCATGTTCCAAATTCTGCGTTCTTTTATATTTAATCCTCCAAGCTTCTTAGGACAACATACTTTTTCCCAAGAAACTAATGATACTTTCTTCTTATTTTCCGAGCCACCCCATAAGTACTCTCTGCACTTCCTATCTTCCTCTTTCAACACACTTTAAGGAAGTATAAACACAGATCCCCAGAAGGTGTATATTGAGAAGAAAACTAAATTGATGATATGTAATCTCCTAGCATAGCAGAGTTGTTTTGTATATGTCAATTTGATCCTATTAGTGATCTTATCTACCAGTTGCTGACATTCCAATTTAATCCATTTTTTATAACTTGTGTGCATAGTTCGTTTTGATTTTCGGAAAGTTAAGATGTGTTTTGAAAGAGAAATCCTAGTTCTAAGCTTTAATGTTGTTGGAGTTGACCCCGGCCAATATTCTTGGTAAACAATCTTGGATCGGTATTTTGACAATTCTAGTAGGTTCATATGATACTTTTGGACTATTACGTATTTTTGATTTGGGTCCCGAGTGACCCGTGAGTTGTCCGTGTGGTTGATATTATTAGCACGTGAGTTGTCCATGCAACATGTGAGTTGTCCGTGAAGCGTGTGGATATAGATACATCCCCCTAGGGTCACTCTCTCATATTCCTTCTTGATGGTGTACACGTGGTTATTTAGAAAAATTGATCAATGGTTTGGTACGGTTATGGAAATTTGGAGGAAAAGCTAGCAGTGTTTGATTTGGTTATTGCATTTCATCTTTACTTGCAATTTCCTTGGTTAACAACCTGATTTATTGCATATCCTATTTATATGTTGAATTTTTGACTGAGCAGAGTACGTCAAGTTATCATGTGCACCTTTCTATGATTTATGATTTGTTCATGATTAATGTTCTGTACTTATTGGATTATTAAACTATACATGTTAATAGTGAGTATCATTTCTAATTCTTGCTTCTATAACATGGCCGAGGTTAGTTATGATACTTTCTGAGTATGGGGTTGGTTGTATTCATACTATACTCTACACTTAATTATGCATATCCAAGTGTCGGACCGAGTTGTGGCTAGCTGTGAGGTGTTGTTGTGAGCATTTTTGAGAGACAGGGTAGAGCTGTATCCTGATAGCAGTGTTGGTATCTCTTTTCCTTTTGTACTGTTATTTCTGTTCAGACATATCATTGTTTTGTATTCCAGACTTGTACTTTTGATTAGAGCTCATGACATTTTTTTACCAGTCCTAGGGAGTTATTGTATTTTGACGCAGTTGTACATGTTAATGGAATTAGACCTGTACCATTTCCTTTCTATTTCTGTTATTATGTTCCGTTGTTATTATGTTGGCTTGCCTAGCAAGTGAGTTAGGTACCATCACGACTATTTTGTGGTTTTGGGGCCATGACAAGTTGGTATCAGAGCCCTGAGTTCATAGGTTATACGGGTCATGAGAAAGTTTAGTAAAGTCTTGTAGATCAGTACTGAGACGTCTATACTTATCTTCGAGAGGCTACCGAACTATTAGGAAAAAACATCACTTTCTTGCATTCTTGTCGTGCAAATTGGTTATTTCCGAAGTTTGAACCTTTACTCTTCTATTCTCTCACAGATGGTGAGGACACGTTCAGCCGGATCATGCGGACATGCACCAGTACCACTAGGTAGGCTGCGAGAGGCCGGGCAGAGGTAGAGGCCGAGATGGGGCCCTCATTTTTACTAGTGCAGCACATGTGGAACCAATAGTCGCTTCAGTGGAAAAAAGAATTCCGGATACTGTTGAGTCGGTGGGACCAACTCAGACACCGGCAGTACCTATTGTTATTCCCGGTCTTTAGGAGGCTTTGGCTCAAATCTTGAGCGTATGCACGAGCTTAGCTCATGTGGGTGTGGTACTAGTTTCACCAACTACCTCATATGCTGGGGGAGGAGCTCAAACTCCCTCCACCCGCACTACAGAGCAACTAGCTCAAGGTTATCAGACAGCAGGGGTGTAACCAGTTCAGCCAATTATTGTTGCTCGGGCTGAGGTTGGTCAACCTCTATCCGATGAGGAGTAGAAGAAGTACTTTACACAACGAATATTGTAGATATTAGTGGAGTTGTATTTACTACTTTTCAGCTGACCGGGGCAGCCTATAGATGGTTGCAGACCTACAAGTCAGGAAGGCCAGCCGGTGCAGCACCAATAACATAGCATTAGTTCTCAGTTCTCTTCTTAGAGAAGTTTATCCCACATACTCAGAGAGAGGAGTTGCGTAGGGAGTTTGAGTAGCTATGCCATGGGGATATGACTTTGACTCAGTACGAGATAAGATTTACATATTTGGCCCGATATGTAGTATGGTTGGTTCCCACTGATAGAGAGAGGATCATGAGGTTCATTGAAGGCCTCAACTATAGTTTACGTTATAGTTTGGCTCGAGAGGCCGAGACGGATGTCAGGTTTGATCAGGTGGTTGAGATTGCTAGATGTTTGGAGCAGGTTCACAGGCTTGAGTGTGAGGAGCGGGAGGCTAAGAGGACTCGTGGTTTAGGTGGTTCCAACAATGCCTCATCTGGAGGCTAGCCACATTACAGTAGAGGTCGTCCGTGTAGGCCCGATAAGGCATATCGTCATGTTCCTTGTGGTACTTCAGTTAGCCATAATTAGTACAATGCTCGCCTAGTTCAATCATCATTTTTTGTGCCACTGGCATAGAGTTCTTACCATGCCCCATCTACTCAGAGTTCTATATGTAGTTATTCTGATTATCAGGGTCATCAGCTTCATCAGAAAGGGTTGCTTTGAGTGCGGAGACATGAGTCATCTCAAAAGGGATTGCCCCTAAATTCTGAGTAGGGATCCACAATAGATGTCATAGCATATAATATATGTACCAGCAGCTACACTACCCGTGCAGCCAGCTAAGGGTGGGGTTCAGTCAGTTCGAGGTCACCCTAGAGGGGGAGGTCGAACAGGCATAGGTCAGGCCTGTTGTTATGCATTTCTCGCTAGGCTGGAGGTAGTCGCTTCCGACGCTGTGATCACATGTATTGTTTCAATGTGCCACATGGATGCTTCAGTGTTATTTAACCATGGTTCCACTTATTCATATGTGTCATCATACTTTGCTCGTTATTTAGATATGCCTCTTGATTCTTTAGATATGCTTGTTCAAGTATCTATACTGGTAGGTGACTCTATTATGGTGGACCATGTATATCAGTCTTGTATGGTTACTACCGGCGACTATGAGTCCAGAGTCGACCTTTTATTGCTCAGCATGGTTGATTTTGACGTGATTCTAGGCATGGATTGGTTGTCACCATATCACACTATTCTGGATTATCACGCTAAGACTGTGACATTGGCGATGTTGGGGTTTCCAAAGTTAGAGTGGAGAGGCTCCCTAGATCATGTTTCTAGTAGAGTGATTTCATATTTGAAGGCTCAACGGATGGTTGAGAAGGTGTGTTTGGCATATTTGGCCTTCGTGAGGGATGTTAGTGCTGAAACTCCTATCCTTGAGTCAGTTCTGGTATTGAGGAAGTTCCCAGACGTGTTTCCTGTAGACCTGCTAGGCATGCATGCGACAAGGATATTGATTTTAGTATTGACTTGATGATGGGCACTCAGTACATCTCTATTCCACCATATCGCATGTCACTAGTGAAGTTGAAGAAGTTGAAGGATTAGTTGCAGGAGTTTCTGGACAAGGGTTTCGTCAGACCTAGTGTGTCACCTTAGGGTGCACTGATACTATTTGTGAAGAAGAAATATGGATCTATGAGGATGTGCATTGACTACATGCAGTTAAACAAGGTTATAGTCAAGAACAAGTACCCACTACCGCGTATTGATTATTTATTTGATCAGCTCCAGGGTACTAAGGTATTCTAGAAGATTGATTTGAGATCGGGGTACCATCAGTTGAAGATCCGGGATTCAAATATTCCGAAGACGGCTTTCAGGATCTTCTATGGTCACTATGTATT